CAGAAGGAAGATGGGGCAATCTACTTCTGTAAAGATTTACAGCCTCAGAAACCCAGTGGTGATTGCTGTGAGTCAGAATCGACATGATGGCAGTGAGTTTGGTTTGGTTTTTGGTATCTTGTTGAAAAGTAAAGGTAAAATTCTACCTAGAAACATTGGTCGAGACTAAAGCTAAGGTTTCTCTCTTTGCAAATAAAACTTCCAGAAAATGTCACATTTAATTACTGTGGTGGTCAGAGGGGAAGAAAGGCCAAACATAACCTCCTCTTCATTTTCTCCTCTGGATTCCATAAGTAAAAAAGAACCAACCCCTCTACCTGTCTCATTATTCTCTTATTGGTGCTTATTAATTTCAGTTAAATATTTTGAGAATATATCAAGTATAAAGCTCTTTGTTACAGGATAGTTTTTTAAAAAAATGAAGAAACTAAGTCTCTGTTCCCTGGAAGCATCAAATATTGGAATGTTTTGTTATAGTGCATAGCTGAAATACCACCTTCAGAAAGTTAGGGATGAAGCTCTGAACATGCCACCAATCCCCAGTAGTTTTTACTGCATTGACATTTATTTAAACTTCTTTTTAATTGGAATTTAGCCATAATAACCCTTGGGAGGAGTGAATTGGGCAAGTTTACAAAATCCTAATCAGTAATTCTTACTTTTAAGAATTAAATTCATATTGTGTGTTATATATTCCTTCAGATTAAAATGGTGCCTTCTCATTTCAGTATTAGATTTGGTGACTCATTTATACTATTTAGATTCTTAATGTTAGCCATATAGGTCTTCAGAAGTTTTTTTTTTTTTTCTCTTTTGTTAAGTCTATTAATTTAACAAGTTCTTATTGAACACTTAATAGATTAAATTAGAAACTAGACATATAATGGTGAGCAAAAAATAGACACAGTTCTGATTTATTGTAGTTTAAATAGTATCTTCTTTTATCCTACATCTTTATAAGCTAGTATCTTAAATTGTGTTATCTACTCTTGGGCAGTTGTCAATTTGTCTTTATTTCAGTTGTCTTGGGAATGTCCTAATCTTAATTTTCATTTGAATAAGAATGGACCACTTAATCTCAGACTTTCTATTTATCTTCATGTCCATATTAAAAAGTTGTATTATTATTATTCATTGGCAGTTTTGTTCAGAAATACAATTTTCTCTTCCTTCTTGAACACATTTTTGCATCATTCTTGATTACTGTTTAAGAAATTATTTAGATAAAAGTAGTAAACAGCTTTTAATTTTCTACTGTAAGATACTTTTGAGTTATTTCTGCAGTGTTCTCAACCTCTCTGTTTTACTTAATAAATGGAATAGTTTTCCTGAATAAACTGGTGTGATATATACATAAGTAGTATTTTTTAGTTTTAAATAATTGACCATTTTCATGCATGTTTTTAGTTTACATTTAAAGGGGCTAGAAGAAGGAGAAAAAGCATTTATTTTTTACATGATTGTGTAGAGACTCTTCAGAGAGATTTAACTAAAAAACTATTAGTACTAATGAAAGATTGAAAACATAGCCTTTTGCTAGATCAGCATTTACAAAAATCCATGTTGTTGTTGTTGTTATGTGCCTTCGAGTTGGACCCGACTCATAGTGACCCCTCCTTGGGTTTCCAAAGCAGTATCACTATGGAAGTAGATTGCCCCATCTTCCTTCTGAGGAGTGGCTGGTGGGTTTGAACCATCAGCCTTCTGGTTAGCAATCAGGTGCCTTAGCCACTATGCTACCAGAGCTCTCACAAAAATCCATAGTTTTCTTTTACTAATAGTAACCAGTTAGAAAATGTAATATAAAAATGATTCAATTCACAATAGCAACCAAAGTAATAATTTTTGTATTATTATAATAATGATTATTTATAATTATAATTATAAACCGTGTAATTAATATATAATTAAATAATTTATAAAATATAAATTATAATTACATAATATATATTATAATTTTATAATCACGTATGTGTGTGCATATATACACACACACACACACATACATACATATATGTGTGTATGTAGGAGCTCTGGTAGCATAGTGCCTAAGGCACTTGACTGCTAACCAGAAGGCTGGTGGTTCAAACCCACCAGGCGCTCTTCGGAAGGAAGGTTGGGCAATCTACTTCCATAGTGATACTGTCTCGGAAACCCAAGGAGGGATCTCTATGAGTCAGGTCCAACTCGATGGCAAAAAACAACAACAACAACGTGTGTATATATATATATATGTTTGTGTGTGTGTGTTGTTATTGTTATGAGCTGTTGAGTCAGACCTGACTCATAGTGACCCCTCCTTGGGTTTCCAAGGTGATTATCAACACCGAAGTAGATTGCCCAGCCTTCCTCCTGAGGAGTGCCTGGTGGTTTGAACCACCAGCCTTCTGGTTAGCAGTCAAATGCTTTAGTCACTATGCCACCAGAGCTCCTTCTGCTTCAAATGTTGTTGTTGTTATGTGCCATCAAGTTGGACCCGACTCATAGTGACCCCTCCTTGGGTTTCTGAGGCAGTATCACTATGGAAGTAAATTGCTCAACCTTCCCTTAGAGAAGTGGCTGGTGGGTTTGAACTGCCAGCCTTCTGGTTAGCAGTCAAGTGCCTTAGGCACTACACTACCAGAGCTCCTATGTATATGTGTGTGTGTGTGTGTGTGTATTCCAGTCAATTTGAACTCATAGTGATCTCCATTGGGTTTCCATGGCTGTAAATCTTTGTGGAAGCAGATTGCCTCATCTTCTTCTCACAGAGCAGCGCAGCCAAATGTCTTACCTACTATGACACCAGAGCTCTTTATATAAATTACATACAAATAATTTATAAGGTACATTCTAAACTACTAATGTTGAGGGGAATAGGATTAGAATTTGTTTTACTTCTTATTACATATGCCTATATATTATTTGAATGTTTACAGTAAGTATATTTGTGTTTGTGTATAAATGTATGTATTGTATAGTTACAAATATATTTGATATTGAATATTTTGAAATGGTTTCCTAACCCATCTTGTTATTGCTCAGGGAGCCCAAGAACGGATAGATAGCTTACGTCGAACTGGAGTGATTCATGAAAAACAAACCGCTGTGTCAGTAGAAAACTTCATTGCAGAATTGCTACCTGACAAGTAAGAGGCTTATGTTTTTCTTGGAAGCAGAAAAAAAAAAAAAAAGAGTGTAGGGGTTTCACATTGTATACCTAGCAAAAAGTGTATCCAGTCATAGAAACACAGAGAAAAGTATATGCTGGTGATAGCAGTATCACTTAACTAGCTGTATACCCTAGGGTAGTTCAGTTGACATTTCTACTCTCTTTTATAAAATGGAGAGAGTGATACCTGCTTGCTAAGATTGTATTAATAGTCAGTTGATTCAGTAGTACTAACTATAAGATGATAAAATAGTCTGTTGGTTTAGATATAATAGATCTAATAGCTAGCATGGTGATTTACACAGTTATTCAAAGTAATAGAAGACATGGGCAAAAAGGCCTGGTTGTAGTTGTCATGTTTTTTTCTGCTGTTATTTACCCCTCATCTAGATCAGAAGAAAAATCCCAGACAGCAAAATTCATCATTGTTTTTATATGCTAAGTTGATTTAGATGAGAATAACTCTGCAACTGTTGAAATCTACCTTTGTTTGCAATCACATGGTATTTTTATTATTTTTATTGTATTATTTTGTTTGCATATTCAATATTGAATAACTGTACCTAGTTCTTTGTGGCTACACCAGAAAACAAAACAAACTTATTGCCGTTGAGAAAATTCCAACCTCCAGCAACTCTAAAGGATTAATAATCAGAATTTGGCACGTACACAGTATGAATCTACGAAAATTGGAAGTTGTCAAAAATGAAATGGAATGCATAAAGATTGATATCCTAGGCTGTAGTGAGTGGAAATGGACTGGTATTGCCACTTTGAATCAGATAATCAATCATATGGTCTACTATACCAGGAATGACGAAGAGGAATGGCACTGCATTCATCATCTAAAGGAACATTTCAGGATCTGAAGTATAATATGTCAATGATAGGATAATATCCATATGCCTACCAGGAAGACCAGTTAAAACTCATTCTGAGTCATATTGCCCCCCTTTGGGTTTCCAAAGCAATCTTTATGAAAGCAGCCTGCCTTATCTTTCTCCTGGGGAGTGCCTGGTGGGTTTGAACCACCAACCTTTTAGTTAGCCAAATGCCTTATCCACTATACCACATCTATTATTGAAATTTACATACCAACCACAAAAGCCAAGATGAAGAAATTGAAGATTTTTACCAACTACTGCAGTCTGAAATTGACCAAACATGCAGTCAGGATATATTGATAATTATTGATTATTGGAATGTGGTAGCTGGAAACAAAGAAACTTTAGTAGTTGCAAAATATGGCCTTGGTGATAGAAATGATGCTGGAGATCACATGATAGAGTTTTGTAACACTAACGACTTGTTCATGCAGATACTTTTTTTAACAACATAAATAGCAACTGTACACTTGTACCTTGCCAGATGAAATACAAAGGAATCAAATTGATTACATCTGTGTAAAGAGGTGATGGATAAGTTCAACATCATCAGTCAAAACAAGGCCAGAGATTGGCTTTGGAACAGACCATCAGTTGCACATAGGTCAATTCAAGTTGAAACCAAAGAAAATTAAAACAAGTCCACGAGAGCCAAAACATGACCTTGAGTTATATGCCACCTGAATTTAGAAACCATCTGAAGAATATATCTGACACATATTTTTAAACACCAGTGAGCGATATCCAGATGAGTTGTGGGATGATAGCAAGAACATCATATGTGAAGAAAGCAAAAGGTCATTAAAAAGACAGGCACAGAAGAAAGGACCAAAATGGCTATCAAAAGAGACTCTGAAACTTGCTGTTGAACAAAGAGTAGCTAATGTGAACGGAAGAAATAATAAAAGAGCTGAACAGATTTCAAAGGCCGGCTTGAGTGAACAAAGTAAAGTATTATGATGAAATGTGCAAAGACCTGGAGTTAGAAAACCGAAAGGGAGTAATACGTTCAGCATTTCTCAAGTAGAAAGAACTGAAGAAAACAAATCAAGCCTTGTGTTGTAATACTGAAGGATTCTAGGGACAAAATAATGAACAATGCAGGAAGCATCTAAAGAAGATGGAGGGAGTACACAGAGTCATTGTACCAAAAAGAATTGGTTGACAGTCAAGAATCAGGAGGTAGCATATGATCAAGAACCAGTGGTATTGAAGGAAGAAGTCAAAGCTGCATTGAAGAAATTGGCAAGAAACAAGCCTCCAGGAATTGACAGAATACCCAGTGAGATATTTCAACAAATGGATGCGGTACTGGGTGCGTTCACTAGTTTATACCAAGAAATTCGGAAGATAGGTACCTGGCCAACTGACTGGAAGAGATCCATATTTGTGCCCATTTCAAAGAAAGGTGATCCAACAGAATGAGTAAATTATCAAACAGTATCATTAATACAAAATGCAAGTAAAATTTTAAGGTAATTCAAAAATGGTTACATCATTATATCAACAGGGAACTACCAGGAATTCAAGCCAAATTCAAAAGAGGACATGGAACGAAAGATATCATTGCTGATGTCAGATGGATTTTGACTGAAAGCAAAAAATACCAGAAAGTAGTTTACATGTGTTTCATTGACTATGCAAAGGCATTAGATTTTGTGGATCATAGCAAATTATTGATAACATTGCAAAGAACGGGGATTCCAGAACAACTTATTTATGTACAGAGACCAAGAGGGAGTTGTTTGAACAGAACAAGGGTATACTGAATGGTTTTGAGTTAGGAAAGGTGTGCATCAGGGTTGTATCCTTTCACCATACTTACTCAATCTGTATGCTGAACAAATAATCTGAGAAGCTGGACTACATGAAGAAGAAAATGACATCAGGATTGGAGGAAGAATCATTAACAGCCTGCAACTACGCATGCACCACGTCACCTTGCTTGCTGAAAGTGAAAATGGCTTGAAGCACTTAGTGATGAAGATTAAAGACTAGTTCAGTATGGATCAAACCTCAACATAAAACAAAAATCCTCACAACTGGACCAATAAGCAACATCGTGATAAATGGAGAAAAATTTGAAGTTGTCAGGGTATTCATTTTACTTGGATCCACAATCAACACCCATGGAAGCAGCAATTAAGAAAGATAACATACTGCACTGGGCAAATCTGCTGCAAAAAAAAAAAACTAAAGTCTTTAAAATGTTAAAGAGCAAAAATGTCAATTTGAAGATGAATGTGTACCTAACCCAAATCACATTATTTTCATTAGCCTTATATGCATGTTTAAGCTGGACAGTGAATAAGAAAGACTGCAGAAAAATTGATGTATTTGAATTGTAGTGTTGGCTGAGAATATCGAAGATACCATGGACTGCCAGAAGACTGAACAAATCTATCGTGGAAGAAATACAGCTGTATGCTCCTTGGAAGTGGGAATGGCCAGATATCGTCTCACCTACTTTGGTTATGTTGTCAGAAGGGACCAGTCCCTGGAGAAGGGTATCATGCCTGGTGAAGTAGAGGGTCAGCAAAAAAGGGAAGTCCCTCAAAGTGATGGATTGAGACAGTGGCTACAATGATGGGTCCAAACATGGCAAAGATTGTGAGCATGGTACATGACTGGGTAGTGTTTTGTTCTTTTGTACATAGGGTCACTGTGAGTTGGAACCAGCTTGACAGCACATAACAACAATAACAGAGGACAAAATAGAACTTCCCTGTAGGGTTTTCAAAGAGATCTGGTGGCATAGTACCTAAGGCATTTGATTGCTAACCAGAGGGTTGGCAGTTCATACCCACAAGCCACTCTGCAGACAGAAGATTGGGGAATCTATTTCCATAAAGACTTACTGCCTTGGAAACCTAAAAAGGGTTTCTGTGAGTTGGAATTGACTCAATGGCAGTAAGTTTGTTTGTTTATTTTTATAGGGTTCCTAGGGCTAGAATCTTTACAGAAGCAGACTGCCACATCTTTCTCCCAGCTTAGTACTTGTGTCACCAGAGCTCCTCTTTGTGGCTATGGTATACAAAAATGTTCTCCCATTCTGAGAATAGGCAGTATATGCACAGATGAGCAGCTGTAAAAGTTAAATAGTTGTACAGCTCAACCTGCCCCACTGCCACTGAGTCAGTTCTCATAGTGACCCTATAAGACAGGGTAGAACTGCCACATAGAGTTCCCAAGGCCGTGAATCTTTATGTAAGCGGACTGCTTCATCTTTCTCCCATGGAGTGGCTGGTGGAATTGATTTGCAGGCCTTTTGGTTAGTAGCAGCCCTGTGCTTTAACCACAGTACCACCAAACTTCCTTAGCTCTATAAGAAGGTATGTCTCTTGGTTCTCTATTGCTGCTGTAGCAGAAATACTACAATTAGATGAGTTTGGCAAACAGGAATTTATTCTCTTATAGTTTAAGAGGCTAGAGTTCAAATTCAGAGTGCCAGTTCTAAGGGCTGGGTGAAGGGCTTCAACTCTGCCTCTTGTTCCAGGCCTATTGGAGCTAGAGGAGTCTCCTAACTCAGACAGCTGCTGGTTGCTGAGGCTGGTGAACCCAAGGTCTACAAGTAAAATGGCACAATCCCAGCATCAGTAGGCAATACAGCAGGTCACTGGTTCAAGTCCAGGAACTAGAAGTGAAGACTCAGCCAAATGCAGGATCCAGATGTGCCAAAAAGCTAGAGACCTTTACTCTTATAGTGGAAGTAGGCCACACCCCAAAGGCAGCTCCTTAGCTGCTCACAGCAGATTCCACCATGGTGGTGGTTGCAATCTCATCATGGGGAATAACTACATCCAGCTGCCAAGCTACTCAAAACCACAGCCCAGCCAAGTTGACTACCACATTTTTTGATGTTTGAAATTTTTTGCTGACAAGAAATGTTATATAAAAGTTTAGTGAAGATTACTTTGTGTGGAGGTAGTGTCAAATCAGATTCATGAGTAGTTAGGGCTTGAGCTGGATTTTGAAGAATAGGTAACATTTGGATAAGTGAGAAAGAGTAGGTGTAGGACATTCTGGGTAGAGGAGAAACTTTGAAGATGATTAAAATGTATTTTGGGGACAATGATTTGTTGATAGGAGATGT